GGTCACCATGTACCCCCCTCTCTCCTCAACCCAACATGAAGGACCCCAACATGAAGGTCCCATCACAAGGACGGCAGCAACGTGACTCAACCAGGAATGACTTGACCAGCTGTTCCCGTCAACACCCACCCACACTACACCTCCCTCCACCCACACCACCCTCCACCCACACCGCCCTCCACCCACACCACCCTAATCCCATACTACACCATCCTCTACTTGCAAGAATAACGCAACACAAGTTAGAACACACGCCGCGTATAAAACAAAATACGCCCGAGGCCGCTAAATGGGGGAGGAGAGGAGGTGGGAGAGTGGAGGGGGGGGTAACGAGATGAAGAAAACGTGAGGCTTTTAACACGGATTGTGCAACAAGGCCGCTGAGGTTGCCAGTTAAAAGGGATATTGTGTGGGCGGGAGTGGGAGTACACCTGCTGTCATGTACCGGCCTTGATGCGCTGGCCGGCTCCAGCATCACCTGGAGGTACCTTCAACAACTTTTCAGTCTAACCCATCCAGCTATTTACAACACTATCACTCAAGAAGCTAGTTCTGATATTCCTACGACTAGTGTCCATCTACACTCTCCCCTAGTTCTGCTGTTCCTGGTTACTGTCTACTTTATCAATTCCGCTTAGACTTCCAATGTCGTTATCATGTCCTGCCTCCTCCTCCTCCTCCTCCTCTCATCCAGGTGGTGATGACACACAGGTCTCCCAGCTTTTCCTCGAAGCTCGATAATATAATATTGGATCCCCTCAATAAATCTAAAACGTATCGGGCTGAATATTGTGACGCCACATCCCTCCTACAAACCATATACATACTATAGTTGTGTATATGGTTTGCTGTGTGTGTATATGTGTATATACGTGTATATCGCTCCTATACATGTTTATAGGAGCGATGAGGTAGAAAAGTCTCTCTCTCGGGCCGTAGAGCCCCTATTCCCCGACCCTTGTGGAACTTCATTCATTACCTTCATTCTATCTTTGCTCTCACTATAGTCCTTTATTCACACAAGCGCTCTTCCAGCTTGCTTCTCCTGTGTGTGGGACGGTATCAAATACCTTCTGACAGTCGAGAAATAAGCAGCCTGCCCATCCAATTTCTTGTTTTACATATATCTTCTTGCAGAACTCTTGTGTTTGTAAAGCAGGATCCTTCTTTGCTACATTGGGGTGGTGTGTGGGGGGGGGGGGGGGGTGGAGCGTGGCAGGGGAGCGCGGGAAAGTTGCCGCCCAGCCCGCACGTGCACAAGGACGGTATAAACACGAGAAAGTGGAACTGTCGAGGCACTCCCGCCAGCTTCTCTGATCACTCCACCACCACCACCACCTGACAACACTTACGGATGTGCGGCAAGACCGCGCCCTCTCCGTGTGAAGATACAAGTGTATCTCTCACTACTACAATGCTGTATTGTAGTATACATAGAACGCCATCAGTTGGCGACCTGGGTAGGCTGATAGCGGGCCTCGCCTCCTTCATTTGAGGTCGTTTGTAGGGGGAGGGTTGTGGGGTTGAGGGGAAGGGTTGTGGGGTTGAGGGGGAGGGTTGTGGGGTTGAGGGGGAGGGTTGTGGGGTTGAGGGGGAGGGTTGAGGGGGAGGGTTGTGGGGTTGAGGGGGAGGGTTGTGGGGTTGAGGGGGAGGGTTGTGGGGTTGAGGGGGAGGGTTGTGGGGTTGAGGGGGAGGGTTGTGGGGTTGAGGGGGAGGGTTGTGGGGTTGAGGGGGAGGGTTGTGGGGTTGAGGGGGAGGGTTGTGGGGTTGAGGGGGAGGGTTGTGGGGTTGAGGGGGAGGGTTGTGGGGTTGAGGGGGAGGGTTGTGGGGTTGAGGGGAAGGGTTGTGGGGTTGGGGGGGCGTCCTTAACCCCTACAACCCCTACAGCAGTGTTCGCGGTTACCACATTGTTCTTGTCCAAGGAGTTCTCTAGCACTGAGAGCGAGGAAGCCCCGAGGCCACATTGGCGAGCCAGCTGTAGGCCCCGAGCCACACTGGCGAGCCAGCTGTAGGCCTCGAGCCACACTGGCGAGCCAGCTGTAGGCCCCCGAGCCCACACTACCTCGTCAGCAGGTTCCTCTCACCGTCCCCAGCGACCTGGACTCCTCGTCCCCTCTGGCCTCGCCATCTGAGTAGCCTCCTCCTCCTCCAATCCCCCAATATCACCACATATTTTACCCCATTTTCTATTACGCTGCCGTGTTGTTACCCTAGACTAATATACAAGACCACACTATTTGTCTGGGGTTTAACCCTCATTACTATTTGCTATGGGTATTATGTATTCTTTATCCGTTTAATATGTATTTTGAGTCTTTCATGTTGACCTACCATGTGACCTGTGGCACGAAGGCAGGCATGATAGTAGATGAGTACACTATAGTTTAGTGGGCAAGGTTTCGTTTGGACACGTTTACAATCATTGTATTCGTTTGTATAGACGTATACAATCATTGTATTCGTTTGTATAGACGTATACAATCATTGTATTCGTTTGTATAGACGTATACAATCATTGTATTCGTTTGTATACACATACAATCATTGTATTGATCCTCTGACAGAGGATAAATTGGATTTAAATTCTTAAAACCTTACTGCTCTTAAGATAAAATATTGAGGCTATACGATGGGATCGAACCCACATCCATGGCCTTCCCATTTGTTATTGTTAATTGGCTGATGTGTACCCCAAGGGGGTGGAAAAGTCGAGTTACAGCCCCGCTCCTGTGCCAGGCAAGTTCACTACGGGCTCACCATAGCCCGTGCTACTTTTGGAACTTTCGTTCTAAGTAGCTGAATCTAAAAACAACCACCACCACGGGGTGTAGTTGTGAAGATGCTCAGTGTTGGCTGTGTCGTCTCTCCACACACACTACTACGTTCAATTACTATCCATCTATCAAGGCCCTCCTGACAACTGCCTCGTTGATTCCTTGTCAATTCGATAATCATCCACTTGCATCATCCACTTGCATCATCCACTTGCATCATCCACTTGCATCATCCACTTGCATCATCCACTTGCATCATCCACTTGCATCATCCACTTGCATCATCCACTTGCATCATCCACTTGCATCATCCACTTGCATCATCCACTTGCATCATCCACTTGCATCATCCACTTGCATCATCCACATGGTGCCCTACTTGTTTGCAGCTTCCACCAATTCTCTCACACGAGGGCAGCGATTGTTTAAGCATTTACCCCTCAACATCTTGGTAACAATCACCATCAGAGTAGTTTGTCTTCCAGTTTAGTCACATAACAGTTTCCTCCACAGTAACTATGGCACCTTCCACGCTGCGTTTACTCCACAAAACACCATTCACACTCCTCCTACGTATGATTCCATACAGTAAATCTTTCAGGCAAACCCCCCTAGGTATAGTGCCTCCAGCCCTCGGGCACGTGCTACTCGCACATCAGGATGAAGTCATAGTCTGGTTGATCCGGCCAGCAGTGAAGCCTGGCTCCAGATCAGGGTTCTCCAGGTCTGGGTGCAAGCAGAAAAAACTCTTCAAACACACACACACACAACCAAAGAGCCAGAGCTCAACCCCCGCAAGCACAACTAGGTACGTACGTACACACACACAACGTTTGAGCCACAATGAGCCACAGAGATATTAGAAAGAACTTTTTTAGTGTCAGAGTGGTTGACAAATGGAATGCATTAGGAAGTGATGTGGTGGAGGCTGACTCCATACACAGTTTCAAGTGTAGATATGATAGAGCCCAATAGGCTCAGGAACCTGTACACCGGTTGATTGACGGTTGAGAGGCGGGACCAAAGAGCCAAAGCTCAACCCCTGTAAGCACAAATAGGTGAGTACACACAACTTTAAACTGCCTTGTGCCCCACACAAATATAGTTATTTAATAATTCCTCCACACAGTTCAAGTATTGATAACTTGACACTATTATTGTGTAGTCTCCAGCTTGCAAGACCTCCGCTAAGGTTCTCATCACGTAATAGACTGAACGATTGATTGAAGAAGATCAAGCCACCACACGAGGCGGTACGGGGCATGAGTATAGCCCGTATAGGTGGGCAGATGTTCTGAGTGAATGTGATCTTTGATCGCGTAACATCTTTACAAGTGTCTCAGGACCTGATCACCATCTTCCAAACTCTATATATACTCGACTCAAAGTACCGCCAGTCACAGCTCCGCTCCTGTGCCAGGCGAGTCCACTACGGGCTCACCATAGCCCGTGCTCCTTGTTCCGAGTAGCTGAGTCTATAACATACCGCCAGCACACTAACAAAAAGTATTCACTTCGTAACTGCCTAAAAATGACCTTCACTAGCTAAAGGAAAATTTAATGCTCACATTTCTTAATTTGAGTTTGACCTCGATATAGCAAATTGAGGCGGGAAAGAACACCTTGTTAAGCCACGGCAAATCGCACCGGTAATCAATACGACCCAATAACCTAATATGATGATTGCTCTTTTCTAATATATTACACAACACAATTACAGCTATTCAAGACCAATATTTTAAGGGAAAATCTTTACTCGGCCGCGTTCCCAGCTAAATTATTGACCACAAAAATTACTTCACCAGCTATGAAGTTACATTAAAGATTTATTTAATAGGTGCATATTTACCTGAGGTGCGCGCGCATGCGTATGTGTGTAAGGGAGGGGGGGGAGAGATAGAGAAGGGGGAGGAGAGGAAGAGGAGGAGGAAAGGAAAAGAGAGACCCGGTGAGAACAGTGTGAATCTCACAGCTCACGGCTCTTCAACCTTCTCCCACCAAATTAGGAACTATTGCCTCAACACACGTGCAGGGTTACCACGAGACAATTGGACAAGTTGGTGCAGCAAGTGCCAGACCAGCACAGTAGTTGTGGATACCTGGGCTTGAGGGCCGCTGCAAGCAACACCCTTTCAGATGAAGTTGTCATAAGACAGGAATATAGAAGCTCTCGAAACCTACTACAGGTAAACTACAGCCCTCAGACAAACGTCCTTCAATACTCACTCTCTCCTGGTCCCAGTTGGCATCTCTTCCGCCGTCTTCCGTTCCGTCACTCTTGTACTCTGTCTCGGGCTCACTCTTCATCCCGTTCTTCACTACACGCTCACTATCACATCTGTGTTGGTTTTCACTCTTTATTTCACACTGGTCTTTGCTTGGCTTCCCGCTCTCTCCTCCCCTCAGGTCTTCACCCCAACCCTTTCCCAGGCTTTCACTCTCATTTCTCCTCTTGGATTCCCTCTGGTCTTCACTCTTAGCCTCGACGATGTTGGTAGGGGCGCCGTCGCCTGTGGAGACCTTCCTGACGACGGCGCCCCTCCTCCTGCTGTCCTTCCTGTTGGGTCTCTTCTGAGTGTCCCTCCTGCCCTCGGTCTTGGCGTGTCCCCTGGGCTTGCTGGCGACGCGTCCCTGCCCTTCGCCCTCGCCGTTGACGAGATCGGGGCCGTAGGTGTAGTCGAAGGCGAAGTGCCGCACCCTCTCCCTGTGGTCGGCATTGCCTTCGGCGGTGACGGGGACCTGTGGAAGAGAAGAGAGCCGCGGGTGTTTACTTTAGCATCTAAAATGTCCTCGACATTGAAGTTATAAGCAACGTTAATAGTTATATTTGCCTCTATAGTTATATAGAGGCACATTGTGAGGGGGAATTTGTAGTATTCAGCAGCGCTGGTAGCTTATGTTTCACCGTTTCTGTCTTATATACAAATCATAACAACGGACTTGTTACGTTCTCAAAATAATGTGAGTACAAAATAAGCTCTCAATCTATCATTTAGAAAATGTAAGATATCTTATGTTGTATGTAACACGTTTGGAATGATGTGTAATGAGAGATGTCTTTTCGTGCTGGTGTCCTGTAGTATACCTGAACTCCCCGACTCATGGCACGAGGAATTTGGCCAATGTTGGTAACACATGGATATATAGACAGTCTGCGGTTACACACATCGCTAAAGAGGCGGGATTAATATAATATTGAAATATGATCTGGACGAAGTGCCCAGATCACATTGTTCCAGCAGGCAGCGTGTTCATCCACGTGACTGCGGACTGTCCAGCCTTAACAACAGAGAAACTTGAGTACAAGTTAAAACTCAGTCGACGAATCCACAGGGTTTCCCTCCTGGTAGTCAGGGTGATGTGAATGATGGCAAAATGTCCCCTCATAACTCTCCCCCAGAGCGAGAGAAAGGGGGGTACCCTTTCCCCAACCCTTCGTGTCTCCTCACCCCCCTGTAAGGGAGACGAAGGGGGGGGGGGGGTTCCGCAGCAGGTCATGACGTTCTCTAGCACAGCAGAGCCTCACAGCCTCAGAGACACTGCCGCCCTAAACATAAGAGAAGGTATACATGGAGAAGGTCCCGGGAGTAGTTGTTCTCCCCGAGCCCGGCCTCACGTCTGGCCCGACAGCTCGGTAAGAGCATCGCAGACTCCAGCGGTGGCAAGGTCAAAGCCCAACGACAAGGTCAGAGCCAACGACAAGGTCAAAGCCCAACGACAAGGTCAGAGCCAAGGACAAGGTCACGGAGGTCCTTCACATTCAACTTGCCCAACACAAAACCAAACAGCTCCCCTACGTGGCAACATAATTACACTCATACTGTCTGAGAATCTCCACACTTGTCTTAAAAATACACCAAGTGCCCTCTAATTATCCCTGCTAAGTATGACCACTAATAGAACGCATACATCAAGTATAATGAGGGTTACGAGGGTGTAGGACTCTCCCCTGTGTACCAACACTCTCCTTCACACACTAGTGGTGAAGGGCGCTTTCACACACACACACACACACACACACACACACACACACACACACACACACACACACACACACACACACACTGATGGTGACTTACGATGCCCGCGCCCACTGTATCACTATTCAAGTGTCAGTCACACGCAAGTGCACATTATATTTACGCTGTAGTGTCTACATTTATGTATTCAGGGATATGTTAGGATTTATATGTAGTTTATTACATTTATCTGGGTACACAAGATGGCGCTCGGTCGAGCTCTGACGTCACATCCGTCAACACACCCCCCCTTGTGAAGCGACCTGTTGTTGCCAATGGGAGTTGCCCCTGTGACGTCATATGTTGCCATACTCGCACCTGATTGGATCGTTGACTGGCACACATGTCTGGCGTGTAAATGAAAACGCTGGATTCCGGGGCTCGGTGCTCAATCCCTAGTCGTCGTTCAGAGCGCCCCGGACGCAGGTCAATCGCCTCACGGTGAATAAAATCAATATTCTTCCAGTACGTCCAAATATACCATCACTTACTAGGCTATATAGCAAGGATAGTCGCAAGTGAATCCATACTTGAGGCTGCTATTCTGGTGGCTTGTATTCACCTCACAAGTAACTCTAGGGCGCAAGTTGCTTGTAAAATGACTGATGGGAAGTTGACCAGACCACACACTAGAAGGTGAAGGGACGACGACGGTTCGGTCCGTCCTGGACCATTCTCAAGTCGATTGTGATGAGGAAGTAGATGCATGAAGTAGATCTACTTCATCTTCAAGTAGATGAAGTAGATTTGTAGTAGAGGAGACTACTTCTCTACTACACTTTGCTCCCCCACCTCTCTCTAGCCTATTTATTGCCTGCATCTACTGCCCCATTACAATTACGGGCTATTCATGCCAGTGCCACCTCTTGGGTGGCTTAATCTTCATCATCATCATCATTCCCCATCACAATCGACTTGAGAATGGTCCAGGACGGACCGAAACGTCGTCGTCCCTTCACCTTCTAGTGTGTGGTCTGGTCAACTTTAGCCACGTTATTGTGACTCATCGCCTGACTGATGGGAAGCTTGCTTCTGTTGGACGTTATTGGTAGCTCGTGTAATTCCTTGGGAACATGTATTGATTGTAATTAGTACACGTGTGACTGCTGGAGAACCTTTTCAGTGGTCATAGCAAAATTTCTAGGAAGGTGGAATGGTTAGAGGAAAGTTATTCTAACGGGAACATTTACCTGCTTAGAATAGCACTTTTGAGAACTTGGAGCAACTATATTACTCTTAATACAGTTACAACAACACTATAAAGGCAAGGAATAATAAATCGACAAAATGTGTAAACCATTTTTTGGTTGACAAAGACGTGTGTAAGCCTTTTTTCATTCATAAACAGTGGGTTTGGCGGGTGTATGGAATGGACGTTTTGGCCTTTGTTCATGAGGACAGGCAAGAATCCACCAGTTCACAATAGTTCACAGGTATATAGTACAATAGTACATGACGCCGGAACAAAAAAAAAAAGTTATATTCTTACAGTATCAATTCATTCAGGATTTATTTATAAAAAGGCCAAATTATGATCGAACTGGACAGATGGTTACTGCATATTTTACCAACGGCTTCAAAACGTATTTCACAATCCGGTTGTTCCAACAACCAGATTGAGAGACAGAAGCTTGGCTGCCTTTATTTGGTTTCCTTGGCCTGGCTATGCATAGCCTGGCTACATCAGGGGTCACTACACTGAGGGGAGGGGGGGGGGGAAGACCCGGGGCAGGGGAGACGGGCAGGGGGGAGACGGGCAGGGGGGAGACGGGCAGGGGAGAGCCGGGGCAGGGGAGAGCCAGGGCAGGGGAGACGGGCGGGGGCAGTGGGCCACCACAACTGGCAGGTTGACAATGTCACCACGAGCATTGAGGTTTTCTAGGGAATAAAGACTGAACCAAGACTGAACCAAGACTGATAGTTCCCTTCCCTTCCAGGCCTTGATCCACCACATGAAGAGTCTTGGGGTGGGGGGGGGGAAGGGGGACGAAGGAAGGAAGCTATCAGGAGAAAGCGCCAAGTCATTACGACTATATAGCACTGGGAAGGGTGGTCAGGATAAGGATTTGGGATGGAACGGGGGAAAGGAATGGTACCCAGCCACTTGGACCGACGGGGATTGAACGCCGACCTGCACTGGGAAGGGTGGTCAGGATAAGGATTTGGGATGGAACGGGGAAAAGGAATGGTGCCCAGCCACTTGGACCGACGGGGATTGAACGCCGACCTGCACAAAGCGAGACCGTCGCTGTACCGTCCACCCCAAATGGTTAGGCACTTAGGGGGGTTAGGGGGGGGGAGACGAAAAAACAGTCTTTATATGTATTCCATCTCCACTCTCCGACACCACCACGACGCCCATCAGGGAGACGGAAGAGCTTCACCGACCTCGAGGGTAACAAGTAACTCTTGGTGGGTCAGTATGACATCCCGTGGATCGATATGGCTACCGACCCCTCTCTCCCCGCCTGCCTCGATACCCGCCTGACCCAAGCCTCAACTGACCAGCCCACTGATTCTTCGCCCAGTGAAGAAGCGCCCCTGGCCACACGGCCGCACCCACAACCCCCACACCATGGGAAACATGTAAATGGGGTTGCCTTGCGCGGAAGACGATGGGGGATGCAATGATGCCAGTGGACAATTCGACCTCAGTTCTCACCGCGGGTCATGAACACCTTCATGAGTCACACTCTACTATCCTCTCGAGAACTGGAGCAGCTCAAGTTCTCCATCTCCCGTCTTGTCTCACAACGGCTAGGCGCCCTCCACGACTGCCAGTGGACAATTCCCGACCTCAGTTGTTCTCACCGCGGCCTGGCACAGACTTCATTCCGTATGCATTTTATAACCGGCTGTCCTCATATCCTTCATGAGTCACACTCTGTTGAGAGTGCTGTCACTCCAACGACCTGTCGTTGGAGTGACAGGGGCTCGCGTCAAGACACAGCCACTCGTGCACCTAGTGCCTCGTGGCTGTGAGTGCTGTCACTCCAACGACCTGTCGTTGGAGTGACAGCACCAGTGACTGCCTGTTGGGCTCGCGTCAAGACACAGCCACTCGTGCACCTAGTGCCTCGTGGCTGTGAAGCGATAAGCCGGAAATTATTTACATGAGGTGGTGGAGGACGTGGGATGAGAGGGAGGGCAGCCACCCGACACCAAACACGCACGGTATGCTATCTGGGACACACATCATCACACACTTTGTAGGTACAACTGGCAAGTACTAGGTTCGACATCTTGAAGACTTCTCGTTTAGCTTATATCTCTAGAAGATCCGTTAATACTAAGTTTTATTTTACCTGAGAATGAAATCGTATGGCATATGTCCAGTTACATACGAAGACAAAGATCCGCTCTAAGAAGCCAAGACAAGCTGACCCAACAAGGAGGTAACGCAGATGAGGAGCGAGAGTATTGAGACAGCCAGGAGAACACCTGTAGTACCTATCCCCAGGTACATGACGCAAGGACACCTACACCCCCCCCCCACTAACACACACCTGTGTCTACCTGCATTACCTTAACCCAAATACTTATCAACACCTGTGTTCATTACGTGTTCATGCCCGCATTACTCTGTGGAGTGTGCGAATTAGTACACGCCCTCGCCAGGCTGGCGTCACCCCCCCCCCCCCCCCGGCGTCACACAAGTGGCTGGGAGAAGTGACTGACACAGACAGACTGACAGACTGACACGGGAAGGAATATTCAGAC